ATCTCGTCCTTCATGGCAAGCTCCCACTTGCTAGCATCCGGGGTTTGACAAGCCTCTGAATAATCTTCAGGTTCTCCTCCATCGGTCAACAACATGTAGTCCATGTATCTCCTATTAGGCACATGGGGCCGAGAGGACCTTCTCAATACAGGAGTTGGAGTAGAAGGTTCTGATTGCTCACCGCTTTCTTCATTTGATTCCTCTGACCGAGGATTCCTTATTACAGGAATGTCTGGGATATCTTCCACCTCTGCATAAACTGGCCCACTCGCTTCTGAGTTGCTGGCACTTGTGTTATGCCGGTCCTTGTACATCACTCTTTCATTAAAGATGACATCTCTGCTGCGGATCATCTTTTTGTTTTCATCATCCCATAAGTGGTAGCCAAACTCATCTTTACCATAACCAAGGAAAGTACATTTCTTTGATTTTGGATCAAGTTTGTTTCTACCTTGATCACTGATGTGCACATATGCTACACACCCGAAAACTCTAAGATGCGAGAGTTTTACTTCTTTTCCGCTCCATACCTCTTCTGGTAACTTGTGATCCAATGGTATCGATGGACTTCGGTTGATCAAGTAAGTTGCTGTGTTGACTGCTTCTGCCCAGAACTGCTTTGGTAAGCCTGACTGCACACGCATGCTTCTGGCTCTTTCAGTCAACGTTCGATTCATACGCTCAGCTACACCATTGTGTTGAGGCGTACCAGGCACGGTTCTCTCCATTCTGATTCCGTGCTCATAGCAAAACTTCTTGAATCTGGTGGTTACGTATTCACCACCATTGTCGGATCTGAGTTTCTTGATCCTCACGCCAGTCTCATTTTCCACCATAGCTTTCCAAATCTTGAAAGCTTCAAATACTTCTGACTTGTGTTTCAGAAAGTAAACCCATACCTTTCTGGAGTGATCATCAATAAAAGTCACGAAGTATTGCTTCCCACCAACGGATGGGACAGTTGTTGGGCCCCAAACATCGGAGTGGACGAGCTCAAGCTTCTCCTTCTTTGGGGTTCTTCTACTTGTCTGAAAGCTGACTCTCTTCTGCTTTCCAAGTATACAGTCTTCACACATGTCAATTTCTATTGACTGGAGACCTGGTAATTTTCCTTTTGAGTGAATGATCTTCATCCCTTTTTCACTCATATGCCCAAGTCTTTGGTGCCATAGATTGGGACTTTCATTTGCTGCAACTGCAATCAGATGACATACTCTTGTGGTCTTGTAAAGAGTACCACTCTTTTTGCCTCGAGCAATTATCATTGCACCCTTTGAAATCTTCCATTCATCACCATGGAAGATTGTTGTGTAGCCTTCACTGGCTAGCTGGCCCACGGAGAT